GTGCGCAATAAGCAATTCAATGAGATCTACGTCACGCCACGGGGACAACCCCCTTAGACTCCATGTGCGCAATAAGCAATTTAGTGAGATCGACGTCACGCCACGGGGACAATTCTTTAGATTTAATGTGCGCAATAAGCAATTAAATACGACCAACCTCACGCCACGGGGACAACCCTTTAGATTTCATATGCGCAATAAGCAACAAATTAGGAAAATTTGTTATATAGAAATTTAGTATTAAAATAACTATTATCTTTTGTTAACAAATATTCTTTTTGATAAATACAATTGTATGTTTTTTGACATGTATTGAAGGACTTTTAATTACAGTGTTTTTAGTTAGTTATCAAAGTGATCAATGTTTTCATGGTCAACTTTTAACAAATTAATTTAAACCTTTACTGTATTTTGTATTGTAAATGTACAGTATTTTCGTAAACTATTTTCTGCCTATTTATCAAAAACACTAAATATTAATATAAACTTATTTGTCATTTACAAATAACATTTAATTTAATACATTTAATTCACTCTAATATGATTGTCGATATTTATTATAACCGAAAAAATATCGACAATCATATTAGAAAATTTTCAAAATACAAACAATAAAGTAGAATAACATTTAAAAATGATATTCATTTAACAATGCTTTAAAAATTAAATTTTCAAAATACATATATTGAACGCATTATGTAAAGACTATCTATTCATTGAGAAATATTCGAATTGTGATTAACGTATAGCATCACTGTGTGATTCTTGTTAATTATATTAATTAATTAATAAAGAAATTATCACTAAATCAAGATTTTAACATTTTTGAATGAGTTATACTATAAAGCAGTGCTTTCTTGTGCCCACTTAAAATCGGTCACTGCGCATATCTTTCGCACTGACTTAACTTTGGCCAAAAATCGGCCACTGTACACTCTGCGTACCTTTTTAAACATACGCAGGAAGGGTTAAAGATGAGCTAACATTACCTAACCGTCTATGGAATAATTTTTTAAAATAAAAGTCAAACATTCAAATGAAATTAAACATTATTATTTTAATTAACATCATTAATTATACAAATACAAACTATTTCATTTTGATAACAATATTATATGAAAATTGAAATAATATCTTAGAATCGATAATTTCAAAAACATATTTATCTTCATTTTGCAAATCGTGAAACGAGTCAAAGCCATAGCTTTATTTGCAATGCAATGCTTGTTAAACATAAGTTAGGCGTGAGTTCTTCGGCGGACATTAGCCCAGACACTGATGGCCTGAAGAAGTCCGGGTCTGGTATTCATATAACGCAATGGTATCTCAGTTTTGGCACATTTACTGAATTCAAAGTTCATCAGAATGTTTGCCAGGGCTAACTTGGCCTCAACCAAAGCAAACCGCATTCCTATGCAATTCCTATGGGTTTAGAATATAAAGTAAATTATTATTAGACATTGAATTCTAGGTGAGACCACAAACCGGGGTCCGCCACCAAATGGCAGGTAAGTATACGGCGTTATGCTATTAGCGTTGTCTCCATAGAAGCGCTGGGGTTTGAATTGATGTGGATTTGGATAGTATTCCGAGTCGTGATGTATAGCGTGTATAGGAATGGCAACAATTGAACCCTTTTTCACTGTGAGTCCCGTATCGCCCAACACATAGTCCTCGTGAGCCTCCCTTTCCACTCGTGTGACCGGATTATTGAGTCGTAAAGTCTCGCAAATGACTGCATCGAGAAATGGCAACTTCGAGACCGACTCGTAGTTCAGTTCCGGACACGACTTTAACTCTTCGTACAGAAGTTGCTGTGAATCGGGATTTAGTGACAGATTATATGTTGCAAACGATAGCAACGATGCGGTCGTCTCATAACCGGCCACAAGAAAGAGCACTATATTTGCAATCACTTCGTCTTCGTTCAGCTTTTTGCTGGCGTTTGAGTTCACTTTCAATGCGTTTCTATTGGCCATCACTTCGTCGACGGATTCATTGGTCTCATCGAGTATTGAATCGTCGTTTCTCTCGGCGTCGACCAGTAGTTGCAGGAAATCGTTGGATGCGTTGGGGTTTGGGTTTGCCTTTCGTTCTTTGAGCACATGTTTGGCCACGTCTTTAAAGAATTGAAACGATTCCGGAGTTGCGATCGTAAAACCGGTCAAATCTCTAAGAAATGCCGGCATTACTGAGTGGACAACGAGTCTCCAGAGGGGAACGTTAACCACTTTGTAGGCCCACTTCACGAATGCATTATTCCTGTCCTCGAGTGCATTGGTATCGGTAGCGAAGGCACACTTCGCGATCACATTCATGGTATACGAGCCGTACAGCCATTTCAAGTCCACATCGGATCCGCTCTGCGAATACTCGCCCAACTTCTTCACCACAGCCTCAACGCAGTCGTCAATCATAGGAAACATTTTCTTGAGTTTAGCGCTCGAGAAAGTGGGCGAAATGGTTGCCCGCAATCGTCTCCAGTGGTCGTCCCTCACAAACAATAGCCAACTGTTGAAGAATTTTGATTTCATGTTTAGATCGCGACGATTGACAAATGCCTGGAAATCTTTGACCAGAATTTGTTTTATGAGTTCCGGTTCTCCGACGGTCAGCACCGGTATATTGAAGTCGTAAAAGCTTTATATGAAATATAATTGTTATATTGTTTAATACAATTAGTGAATAGTGTTAACAAACCCATGAATTTTGCCAAATTCCTTAAACCTTTGCTCTTCTATTTCGGACAATGGTTTTTGAAACACTTCTAATAAATTACCCAAAAATGGTATGGGTTTTGGACCAGCAATTCCTCTCGATCTCCAATACCCATGATTTCTAGTAATATATCTATTGATTGATATTTAGTTGTTATTAATTTATTGCAAATACTGTATGTGTTTAACACTTACTTATAGAAAAGTATTACCAAAACCACAATTAGAGTGACAGTCAACATATAGTCGTTGAATATAAACATATTGCTATTAAATAAATTAATTTGGCAACAATTAAATAATTGTGTACACTATTTATAGCATTGAAATATTATGCACTATTTGTACTACTATTATGTAAACATTTAGCATTGATTACTTTATTAATTGATTGATTTAACCTTGATTAAAAAATTTTAATGCACAAATTAAAAAATATCATCAAATATCACCACACTCTACAATTTAATAAATGTAATAATAATGTTTATTTAGTCATCTTTCAGACAATGTAATACAGAACATGTTGTATACATATTTAATTAGTACATAGTACATAGTTCAGTTTTTTAGTCATATTATGACAACGCTTAGATTAGAACAAACGTTATATTATTGTTATACAATTATATTTTTGCTTATACATATTTGGTGTCATGTTGTAGTGTAAGCATTTGTGCGGGGCATCCAAGTTGTGTGAGCGTTGGTATGTGTTGTATAGTTTGGTGTAGTGTTTGCGAGGGTTGGGCACTCGTCTCCGGTGTATTACCCCCAGTATAGGCCGGATCACATCGGGGATTGAACCACCGATCTCTCAGTCCGTAACTCGATCTGTGCAATGCTTAGCTCTATTTCAAAGGTCAACTATGAAATAAACCAACTGAGCTGAAGCAGTCGAGTAAGCTTTATAAATAAAGAATATGCTAAATCTGCTGATAAATTTGGACTTATGTTGGACATGTTATTGGACATGTTGCACAATTATTCAATGCAAATTAAATATTATAAATATTTATAAATATTTTAACACATTAATTTAAAATGATAATTATGCTGTATATTGTTTACTTCTATCATACTGTACATGTATTTTGTCCAAAACTTGAAAGAAAAAAGAGAGAGAGAGAGAGAGAGAGTGAGTGATTAAATCTAATTAAAATGTCTAATTGAAATGAGATAACATTCAATTAATTTAGATTTCTATTGTGAATTACATTTGTAAATTATATATTATTTATTTGAAACTATATTTAGTAGAGAATGTGATTTCGATGTGATATATTGTTGTGATTCTAAAAACATTAATAATCGTCGACTATAGCAATAAATGATGCAAAAGTGTCAACAAAACGCCTCCTCTTTTATGTATTGATTTAATGGATAATTCCGTGGATTTAACACAAAAATTTGTGGGCGATATTGGATTTGGATTATTAGTAGAGCTAAAAAAACAAACAAAATATTGCGTATAGAAAGAAAAATTTATAACACTTAAGGATGAAAATTTCACTGAAATTTACATATGAACATTTCATTTAGGCTAAATTTTTGCAAAAATGTAAAATCTTCGTAGTTTTTTAACTAGATAATTTTAATGTGATGAAATATATAAACATCTAGCTAATTAAAACATTTTTTATTTAAAATAATAACAAAAAATATTTGAGTTATTTAAAAATTTCAAATTTAATAAAGATTGCTGCAAACGTTTTACTTGAATTATGAATTCTATACAGTATTACAAAATTATAACGAATTTATAACAAATAAAGTATTCTGATAAGTATTTATATAAATTTGTTGTTGTTGATAATAGTTGTTAATTTAGTTTCAATTACACAAATTAGTGATTTATTTAATAAATATGTTTCATATCGCTAATATAGAATAGTTGAAAAAGCATAAATGTTGAGCGAGACCCCTAATCGTTCCCAAACCTTGTTTCATCAATCTCTAATAACTAAAGCTGATCAGAATATGTTTTTAAATGTTTTTAACGGTTAACTATATATGTTTGGGACTTTGGGGGCAAACGAATTACATAATAAGGGTCATTTTAACAAACT